CCGAGTGCTTGGGATCCTGCATCCATGTGGGAGCTGTGAAGGAAGCTCCTGGCTTCAGATTGGCTCAGCTCCAGCTGTTGTGACTGCCTGGGGAGTAAACCATCGGATGGAAGATCTTTCTCTTTCTTCTCTCTGTATATCTGCCTTTCCAATAAAAAGAAATAAATCTTAGGGGAAAAAAATGGAGGAAGAAGCTGGCCAGCACTGTGGAAGATTTGACAAGTAGAGGAAATGTGACACATCCCCAAGCCAGCACTGATGGCCCTCCTGAGTCTGGTGGTCAAATTTAAAGTAGGTCTATTCCACAAGAGTGTACGCATTTCCCATTCACCGCCTGCCTGCACAGGACAGAGTTCAATTTCACTAGGAATACACTAGACGCATGGAACGGGAGAAGGGTCAGGAATGGAGGGCACATGCCCAGGGATACTTCCTAAATGATAATGTGCAAGGGCAAAGGGATCACACAGGTTCTCTGGCAGGTATTCCATGAATGAGATGAGTTCAAACAAAGAAGCATTAGTATATCATGCTCCAAATCTTTCACTGAAAAGTTCAGGAGGGGCTGGCGCACTGACGTAGCAGGCTGAACTACTGCCTGCAACATGAGCATCCCACAAGAGTGCCAGGTTCAAGTCCCAAGTGCTCCAGTTCCCACCCAGCTCCCTGCTAATGATGCTGGGAAGGAAGATGGCCCAAGTGTTTGGGTTCTCGTCACTCACATAGGGGGCCTGGGTGGAGTTTTAGACTTCTGGCTTCAGCCTAGCCCAACCCCACCCATGCAGCCATTTGAGGAGCGAACAGGCAGATCTCTCTCTGCCTTTCAAATAAACAAAACTTTCTAAACATTGCAAGGAATTCATAGGTGTCCTTATGAAATTCAGACAACTCAATGTCTCCTCAATCTTCTAAACTATCTTTCCTTATTATTGCTCTGATTGTGAAATTTCAAAATGATATTCTGGATATTCCAGAGCACCAACCCGTGGAGGGTCACTGTCAAGCTTCCCGGAGTTCTGCTGATGGTGCCCCAGCAAGGAACAATTCGAGCTGCTAAACACAGGTCTTACGTATCTAAACTCCTATAGGGTTTACAGTTACACAATTCCCAAAGCCACGGGCTACGTTTTTTGGGGGAGGGGAAACCCTTTTGCCTAGTGAAAAGGGCACCTAATTTGGTGTCATTTTGCACAATTATTCCAAATCCTCCTCTAACCGAATTCTGTAAGATCAGTCAAGCCAGGAATCACACTTTTCACCTCTAATCTTTTAAAACATTCTACATTCATTACCAACAATGATTTGCCATGCCTGTAGATGACAAGCCATTTCTTGCAAATCCTTACCACACTATCTCAGTTCTTACAGAAAGTTAATTAACAGTGAAACAAATGAAAGCTTCCACTAACATTAACAAAAGAGCTATAGCTGCTGAACCTGTTCTGAAGAGGAGTTACAGGCTCATGGCCCCACTGAGGCAGTCTGGGTCACCGTCCTGAGAATGTGGTTCTCCCAGTCAGATCTGCCTTCCCCACGCCAACACACACACACAGCTGGCTGGCTGTCAGGACAAGCATGACAAAGCTCACTCCAGTGCCACAGCTGCAGCTTAGGGACACAGGGGCCGCGGTAATGACCTAACCATTCAAAAAAATTGTGAGAACAATGGCTTCAGGAAGGATGGGGACATTTGTTTTTCAGCTTTAGTTCAAAAATAGAAAGCATCAGTCAGAAGAGGCCCTGGGAGCTTCTTTTCCTTTCACTGATTTCCTGCATCATTTTCTCTTCCCTATTGGAAGCAGCCTAGTACATAAGGCCCTTCCCACCAGGTCAAAGTGCTTAAAGCTCTGACTGCATTGCCAGTGGCCAAGAACTATGAAGGAAATGCAGCTACTTCACATTTGCATTGAGTAGCACGGTTCACGACTCAATTTCCTTCTTTTTAAAAATCAGTGTTTTATTTGAAATGCAGAGAAAAGGGGTGGAGCAGGCATCTTCCACCGCTGGTTCACTCCCAAAAGGCCCGCAACAGCTAGGGCCGGGAACCCCATCCTGGTCTCCCACATGGGTGGCAGAGATCCAAGCACTTGCTTGAGCCATTTCCTGTCACCTCCCAAGTGCACACTAGCAAGAAACTGGGATGTTAAGCACAGCTGTGGCACAAACCTAGGCATTCTGATATGCCTGGGACACCCGTTCCCTGAGCACTGCCCTATATCCTAATTTCTACAACACCAAGGTTAATGTTAACTGAGTAATGTTCAATTCTCACTATGATTTCACATGATGCAAGCACAAAATTACATTATCAGAGAATAGTAAGTTTCTTTGGCTCTGCAAAACAGGGAGCAGAGAAAGAACACTGTACCCAAGTCCACAGGATTCGATATCCCTACAAAGCAGCTGATGAATCATATGGGGGTTGGGAAAGAGCACTGGAGAGAGAAGAGAGGGCGTGAAGAATTGGTCAGTTTACTGAAAGCAGCACTTGCAGAGGCATTCACAGTAATTCTGGACAGATATAGCTGATGATGGCAAAATTTATCTTAAAATAGAGGACTTGAGAGTGTTACCGGCACAAGCTGACATTAATCCAAATGACAAGGCACAATGCCAAGAACAAACAATGCATGACTCCAACTTGATGTGTTGTTATTCTCGAAGTGAACAGTCAAAACCTCTTAAAGGAAATAATAACCTTTTAAGCAATGACCTATGGTTAATAAATGAAGAGTGCCTCCTCCAACCATCATGGTTTAAAGACGACACTGAAGTCCCCTGCACAACCATGGCCTCCTGTTCTCAGTTCACACTCATTTGTGAACACAACGGCAGTTACACACCAACGCTACGGGATTCCTCTTACGCCTGGGAAGCCAGCCACCTGCATTGGCCCAGTCCCTCTGCTCCCCACCTCCTTCATTCAGTTCACTGTTGGGACAAAAGGTGTGAGAGCGAAACACCGGAAAGGACACACCAAGGTGATCCAGCAAGGCTGGTAAACTGACTCATGACTAGCAGTGATGCCAGCCAGGTGCCCAGGTGAAAAGCAAAACTAACGCAATCCAGGACCCGCCTGATAGTTTCATCCTGTGAGACAAGCCACCTCTCAACCTCTGCTTAGGACTTCTGTTTCAATATCTTTCATGTACTGAAAAACAGTCTGACAGAGACTCACATCAGTATTACAAATAATATTTCCTTTCCTCAACATGTTAAATAAACTCCACTCCAAAAGAACACAATTTGAATTACACTGATATTAACATCTTGAAATGTTATTAGAATGCCCAAACTCTAGGCTTTTCAAAATAGACATACGCATCGTTGGGCAAATCAAATGTCTGGTTTTCTCTGTGAAGTCATTTAAAAGTGTGTCTGAGTCAAGGTCAGAAAAGGCTAGAACTGACACACAAAGGGGCAAAAGCAAAGTTTTCACCTTACAAACAATTCACCATTCGTCTACCTTTCATGTGTCAAGGTGTAAACATCATCACAGACAAAAATGCAGGTAGACATTAACCTAACTCCCAAGCGGAGTGCTCTAGGCTGAATGTTTTGAGCCTGGAGTCCTGTGCCGACGACTCCGGGTGCTCAGAAGTGGGGTGCCCCAGTGAGGTACTGCTGGGCAACATCTTTTCCCTAGTCCAGGATTCAGAATTCTTGAGCTTTAGATCTAACAATGCATGGCATACACTGCCTGTGGCCATTTAAATGTAGGTTGAAGTAACTGCCAATGGCAAAAGTTCTAGAAAAAACATGTCCATCCCTCTTAAAAATATTTGTGACAAGAACAATTATTCATAACACAGTCCGAGTATCCTTTATCAGAAATGCTGGGGCCAGAAGTGTTTTCCTTAAACATTTCAGAAATGTTTGGGAATACTGGTATATGCACTATGCAATACACCGTGGGAGATGGGACTTGAAGCCTAAACACGGAATTCATTATGTTTCCCACATACCTTTCTCCAAATAGCCTGAAGGGAGCTTCATGCAATGGTTTAGTGTACCTGGGTTTTGGTTGCACAAGATCAGGTGTGGAATTTTCCACCTGCATTCTCCTGTCAGGGCGTGAAACATTTCTGATTCTAAAGTGTTTGGATTTAAGACTTTCAGATAGATGATGCTTCATCTGAATGTGATCAAAAACTCAGGAGCTTGTGGGGACTTCTAGAAGGCAGACAATCTGATCTGTGCCACTCAGCCTTTATACCTGCTCCCGCCCACATTCCTCCACTCAGGTGTTCTCGCCAGGAATTTACAAATGGATTATTATATAGCAAGTTTTTTTTTTTTTTAAAGATTTATTTATTTTCATTGCAAAGTCAGATATACAGAGAAAAGGAGACTCACAGAGGAAGAACCCCAAGTGGCTGCAATGGCCGAAGCTGAGCCATTCCAAAGCCAGGAGCCTGGAGCTTCTTCCAGGTCTCCCACATGGGTGCAGGGTCCCAAGGCGTTGGGCCGTCCTCAACTGCCTGCCCAGGTTGCAAGCAGGGAGCTGGATGGGCAGCGGTGCCGCCGGGATTAGAAGCAGCACCTAAATGGGACCATGGCACCGGGCCCTATATCAAGGTTTTTAAAGAAAGAAAAAGCAGGGTGTGAGTCTCTAATTCTTCAAATTTGTTTAGCTGATTTACATCTACTAACAAGCTGTGTTGTAGGTGCAACCAATGGTCTGGAGTGAAAGCCCACTGCAGCCTTCCTCTTTGTCTGGCAGACAGCATCTTGATAAAACCAGTCTGAGGTGAGCCAGACAAGTTGGACAGGTTAGCTTTTATGGCACAATGCTTCGCTACCTCAACGAATCCTCAGAGTACGAAATATCCTCAATTCTATGCACTCTTGATTTCAACCTCCTTGAATGGGAAGGAATAGAAATGTTTTCCTCCCATCAGCTCCCAGTCCAGCAGCAACAGATCTTTTCGAAAAGCAAGGACAGTTGCATACTGAACTTTGAAAGAGACCAAAAACAGCAATCCTTCTACAATTGATACGGTTTTGGTTTTGAAATTTATTTTAAAGGTTGTACAAGGCTAGAACTTGAGGCTGTTGCAAACCATGGTCATCTGTTGGGTGTATAAGGTGAAAAAGAGTAAAATGAAAAGACAAAAGTGAATACACCTTCCACCTTGTATAAACATCCAGTAGTAATGTAACCATTCAGTTAGCCATCCAACAGAAGCCGGACAGACCTGTCCCAGCGTATGACATTGCCATGATTTTAGTAATTTTAAAGAGTTGTATTCTTCAAAAAGTAGAAGTGCTTTTAATTAAAAATTACATTAATTAAAATTGCAGGCACTTAGCTGATAGTAAGCATGGACAAGCTTAGGAAGTAATGGGTAACAACTATGCAAATATCCCACGAGAGGTGCATGTGCCAGGCCAGAACACACTTTCTTTGGGCTCTGCCTTCAGGGTCTGGCTTCTCCGCTACCTGATTTGAAGTGAGAGCTCACAAACATAAACCTCCTCCTGAGACAAACCAACTGAAGTCCCAACATGCTAACATCACAAACACCCTTGCCAGACTCTAGCAGCATGCACAGCCCTCCATATGGGGACACAGGTCACCATGCCTGGTCACACAAGGCTATTTCAGAGCCTTTTCTCTTTCAGAGGGATTGAATCGCACCAGCACTATAAAACTAGTGACTCAGTATAAAGTTAAGTTCTCCAAGACATTCCTATTGTGATCAGTCTTTTACAAACCCCAGGAAACGTTCAACCATCAACTTGTATGACAGAGTCCCATGTCCTAAGGGTACTGAGCCTCATATCTCGGTCATGGCTGCGTGGCCAGGAATATGGACACCGTGATGGCCGCCTGCATTCTTCACATTGTGCTCATGGACAAAATCAGTGTAGTTTCTGTGTGCGGTCTGGGGTGGGGGCAGGGCCCTGGTGCTCCATTGGTCTCCACCACGTTGACAGCAGTCACTGGCAGCAGAGAGCCTGGATGGTTGGGAGTGGGAGGGGAGACAGTTAGTCAACAGGAACAGGAGAAAATGGGTGTGTAAGAGTCAGAAGGAAGGGAAGCGAGTGAGTGACATGCACCACTGCTACGAGCAATTATCAATGCTACTTCATGCAATAAGAGCATGTTGGAGCAACAACAGAGGCCAGGTGTTCAGGGTTAAATGTAACGGAAAGGTCAATATGGAAATGCATGTAAGTAATCAGAACTGGTTTAGCAGATTAATTAGAGGAGATGTCACAGAGCGCAAACATTGGATCTGTCCCTGATGCTGCCAAAAAATGGTATTCAGCATTCTAATGAAAAAGAAAAAACATATATTCACAATTGACTTAATTCAAATTTAAGGTGAAAATTCTGTGTTAAAGCCAAAGGTACATACGGGCAGAACGGCAATACTGTAATTTAACCTCCAAGTCAAATGGTTACACAAAGCCAAAATTCAGGGAGCAAAATTTAGAAAGGACATTAAAAAAAATCTTGGACCCATTACAGGCCATGTCATTCCCCCCACGTTCCCAATTAACAATAGAGGATCATTGCTCCTTCTAGAATCTGAAGTCACAGCATCTCCAGGTAAAATCCAACAAGCACAGATGTGACTAGATTATTAAGCTCCCCCAGGGAAACTGATTACTAAGCACAGGAGACATCCGTTAGCACAGTGCAGTCCAGCAGGCCCCGAGCAGGGCAGGAGTGAGCCAGGCATCGGGCAGGCCATTCCAGAACGGGCCAGTCCTCCAATAGAAAGCCAGTAGCTGCCAAAGTTCAGCAACAAAGAAATCTGTGACAAAGGGGCAGCCTGTGTTTAAAATAATTACAAAGAAGAAAAAATCACATCACTTACCAAAAAACTAGACTTGTAAAACTATAATTTTCTTCCTAATTCAACCAAAATAACTGCTTTCATTTTTTTTTTTTCCCATTGGGGAAACCAACAGGAACGTTCAGAACAAATGTGGAATATTAAAAACATCTTCTTTCAACTATGTTCATTAACTCTAACTCACAAAAATCACAATCCTCAGTCTCTAAATATTTAGGAAATTAAATTAGGCTGATGCTTTCCTCTACAGACACAAGAGTTCTAAATATGACTCAGTTTTGGTTTTGTTATTTATAAACTATTCACATAATATAATTACATGAATTGTTTCTCAAAAGGTGATACTCTTTTGAGTATATATACTTGATGATTCTTATAATACTTGATAATTCTAGGTTTCTGTTATAACAAATCCTTTACCTAAATAAGGTGACATTTAAAAGGTGGTAGAAAAAAATGACTTGAACAGGATGTAGATTTAACTTAAACTGGTTGTCTGCCAAAATTAAGCTCATTTTTCCAACCAATTGCTCAAACTTAGGGAGCATTTCCAAATTAACTGGTTACCTTCTAAGGGAGGACTGCTGTTCTCATGATTAGAGCATGCAGAAACAGAATGAAAGGCAAGATGCATTGAAGTTCAGGCCAGAGAATCTACTAGTCCTACGCATGTCAGCTTGGCCCACTCAGTTCCACATCCTTGCTGGCCTACTCTGAGGTTCCTTCGGCTTTGGGGATCAGGGCTTTACCCCACTGCAACAAAAGCAGTCTCAGCACAACCACTCAATGGAGAAGGACATACAGCTCTGAGTGGCTCATTTTGCTTAAGATTCAATCCAGTCTAATGCTCTCTTTTTAAAAAGGCCATCCCAGGACCAGTGCGATGACTCAGTGACTAAATGTTTGCCTTGCATGCACTGGGATCCCATATAGGCACCGGTTCATGTCCCAGCTGCTGAACTTCCCATCTACCTCCCTGCTTGTGGCCTGGGAAAGCAGTAGAGGATGGCCCAAAGCCTTGGGACTCTGCACCCACATGGGAGACCCAGAAGAAGCTCCAGGTTCCTAGCTTTGGAATGGCTCAGCTTTGGCCATTGTGGCCACTTGGGGAGTGAACCAGCAGGCAGATTTTCTCACTGTCTCTCCTTCTCTCTGTAAATCTGCCTTAACAATAAAAAATAAATAAATAAATAAAAACAAGTCTATAAGAGGCTGTTCCAAAGGAACCAAGTAGTACCCAACACATCAAATTCAACAGACTCCAACATATACTGATCAAAATAAAAAAGCTCTAAAGATTTAGTGTCACCACAGAGGACTCAGATTCTCATCCCACATTCATGTGAAAGGCACCCATCTATTAATGGAGTTCTTTTATAATCCAAGTCTCGACATTACCCCTCCTTGTCAGGAGGGCATGGTGGGAACCTGGCTATCTGCCGGAGCAGCACTTTCCGTAAGGAACCAAGCAAGACTTTCTTTGAAAGGCTTCAGGAATGAAATTTTACAATCTGACATGGATAAGACTCATTATTTATGCCTTTAGCCATGTGCTCACATGCACATACAGAGGACTCCCAATACACTCCCAAGTGAAATAAAAATGCTAAAAGGAGAATATGGGGGGAGGAAACCAGGAAAGATCCTCAATCCTAGCTCTGAGTCACTTGGAACTGAAGTTACAAAGATTCCCAACCATCCAAAGCAAAGCACCTTGCAGTTAGTTATGCCAAAATGAGAGTGAAAACCAATCACACGGCAGAGAAGGAACATCACCGACCACCACCAGGCAGGAAGAACGGGCTGCACAGAAAGCTGACCAAACCCTTGTGATCACCACAGAAACTCATTAGATTTCAGGTACTAAACAAATGGAGAGTGAGAGACAAAGAAAAAGCTCATGAATTACCTAAGTTTGTTCCAAAGAGGCATAGAATGCGAGTGGATGACATGCCGAATAGACCACCCAACCAATCATTCTCCAGAAACCCCCGACCCCTCCCGAGCCTGAATCACACAGGTTGATTTGGGAAATAATGAACTCAACTGATTTACTTCAACAAGTCACAAAGTATTCATATTTGTGTATGTATTGTTAATCTAGAGCAAAACCTTAGAAAGCTAAATCAATTTCTTCATTCCCAGTGCAGTATTGTTTAAATCTCCAAACAACAGAATATTTTATGGTGTTTATTGAACTTGAGTCATATTTCCTTTCTGGCTCTATTTTTAGTCTTTAAAGAAGAAAACATACCCATAGTAGTAACATCTTGTTGTGTGGAGTAACATAAACACATATTTTCCTTGCCCAACTGGGAAGGTTTCCACTGACTGGCAGAGAGCCCCCCACTGCTCGCAGACCATGCTTGTGCAAATGGTGGCAGCTCTCTGGCACTGTTCCTTCAGACAACTGCATTCCCTTCCTCATCTCCAGCCTGCCTCACCGAATGGGAACATGCCGCTCTCTAGCTCACAAATATGAATAATTTGCTTTCAAGTATATTAAGGGCACTTGAGATCATTGGCTAGTGATTCAGCATCCAATCAGCAAGCAATACTTTAGTTTAAGGAGTGAACAAACCATTTCCTGTTGTGTTGCTCGGTCCCAGGATTCTGTGGAAGATTCTCAATCTCCACCAGCACAGGCCCAGAGGTAGTGGAAGGAACCACAGGCACGGCAGATCTCGCACCCCAAGCCTTTGCACAGAAATTATAAGCATCATCGATTTTGCTCCGATAATAGCTGTCTATAGCAGAACACTAAGATGAAGACCATTACAGAATGAAACAAAACAATTGCAACCAATGCTTGAAGCTTATATATCACCTTACAGATACATACTTTAACCAAACGTTAACATTTTATTCATTTTTCTGAACGGATAGGGACAGATATGTTCTATAAAACATTTGCCCTATTTATATCATCTGAGAGAGTAAAGCAACAGAACTTAGGCATTAATGAGTCACTCAAGGCACAGGGAAAAGAGAACTGCACAAAACTTGTGCAAGGTTCCAGCACTCTGAAAATCCGGGTAACACTACTATTGACTCAAGTTAACCAAGGTGTTCCAGAGTCTGAGAGCGTCATGCCTTCTTACCTGTTGGGAACCATTGCTCTGCGATGAAACATTATTAACGCTGTAATGGGGGGGAAATACCAAGTAAGAAGTTAGTTATAAAATTCAAGTGCTTCATTTTTTAGTGCCCTAACTGAAACTAATGAAAGCAACACTGAAGGCATTAATGTTTTATTTTAAATAAAGAAAGCTAAGTATGTTATCTAAAACTGAGAACGTTAGATGCATGGAAAATCACAGGCAACAACAGCATCTTCTCACCTGACATTTCCACATATCTTGATTTTGATTCTGCCTGAGACAGATATTTAAATCTTAGTCTTGCCTAATCGCTAGACAAAGATAGAAAAACCAAAACAGCAGCACAAATGATTTTTTAAGCGCACAGTACCCAACTCAAATGGCCGCATGCTTGTCTATCTCTTCTTTTGTATACTCCTACCCTCTCCAGATTTTCCGGTGCCAACAAGGGCTCGGCACTTTAAAATTCATAATACTCATAATAAAAAGGACTCAAAATAAACTTAAGATTAGAAACCTCTCCTCTAAATAACTGATAAATAATTTCAAATTTTTAGTTTAGATTTTATCCATCTTCCTACTCATTCCTACCTTCAAAACACTTTCAAAAATCTCAATCTATAATACAGAAACTAGGAACAAACTACAGAATATAGAAAAATTACAAATGTTTGGTTAAATATGAACTGAAAAATGAGATGTTACCACAACAGAACGCTAAGACAAAGTTCGCTGACTTCAGAATTCTAACATATAGATAAACTAGAGTCTCTGAAGTAACAAATTCATATGATTTTTAAAAAAGATTCATTTAATGTTATTGGAAAAGCAGATGCACAGAGAGGAGGAGAGACAGGAAGGAAGATCTTTTATTTGATGATTCACTCCCCAAGCGGCCTCAGCAGCCAGTGCTGCGCCAATCCAAAGCTAGGAGCCAGGAACTTCTTTCTGGTCTCCCATGCGGGTGCAGGATCCCAAGGTTTTGGGCTTTCCTTGACTGCTTTCCCAGGCCACAAGCAGGAAGCTGGATGGGAAGTGGAGCTGCTGGGATTAGAACCAGAGCCCATATGGGATCCCGGCACGTTCAAGGTGAGGACCTTAACCCCTATGCTATTGCATAAAGCCCGAATGCATATGATCTTTAAAAAGTATATTTAAATTTATACAGTGAAATCCATGAGAGTGAGAAAATACAGATTTAATAAAAGCACCATGTTTCAGAAAAATGAGATGCAGAATGAAATATGACAAATTCCTAGTAAATTTCTGACCTTCACGTATCAGCAAACAACATCTCAATGTTCCATGAAGATATAAAAGTATACATTGCAAAAATGGATTAGCACAGGCTCTCCACAGCATACTCAAAAAATCTTATACCCAGCTGCAGTGTCATGCCAGCACATGGAAATGGGCAAATACCACAAACTCAGAATCCAGCAGCCAGAAGCCTTTCTAAAGAGAGTGAGAGCAAACCCTCTACCTTGCCTGGCACTGTACCCTTGTGGTTAAATTTCTCGCCTTGCATATGCTGGGATCCCATGTGGGTGCTGGTTAATATCCTGTCTGCTCTACTTCCCTTCCAGCTCCCTGTCTGTCATCTGGCAAAGCAGTCGAGGATGGTCCAAAGCTTTGGGACCCTGCACCCACGTGGGAGACCAAGAAGAAGCTCATGGCTTCAGATCAGGTCAGCTCTGGCTGTTGCAGCCACTTGAAGAGTGAACCAGCAGACAGATCTTTCTTTCTGTACTTCCTTCTCTATATATGTGCCTTTCCAACAAAAATAAAAATAAATCTTAAACAAACAAAAGCTATCTACTGATGGGAGCCAACGAATTAACACAGAATTTAAGAATGATGAGGCCTTGTCAAAAGGCCAGGTGATTAAGAGTGAACCCATTCTATGTCTTTTTTTTTTTTAAACTAATAATCCTCCTATTGCAAGCTGAGTCACCACAATTTGCACCACCACTTTCTGGGGCCAAACCCAGTTATACCAATAACTTTGCTCTCTGCACCCAATGGCACAGAGGAAGAGGGGGGACAGGAGGAAGTCCTCATCCACATGAGACTGGTAGGATTAAGTGAATGAGTATCCGCAAAGTGCTAGGAACAAGGATAGGTAAAACAACTAAAGAAAACAAGGGATGGGAGTTTGGCTGAGCAGTTAAATCCTCATTCCTTACACAATGTCTGCTTTTGAGTCCTGTCTCCATTTCCAATTCAGATACCAACTTCTCAGGAGGCAGTATGTGATAGTTCAAGTGCTTAGGTACCTGTCATTCATGTGGGAGATCCAGACTGAGTCCTAGGCTCCTAACTTGGACCTCACCCTGCCCTTGGTGTTGTGCGCATTTGGGGAGAAAATCAGCAAATAGAAGGTCTGAGATTTTCTTGGCCTTTCAAATAAAAATAAAATAAACAGGTATAAAAATAAAAATCCCCTAAAAGAAGCCAAAACACTAAAACCAAACCAAACCAAATCAAACCAAACCCAAACAAAAAACAGAACACAAAACCTTGTTAGGGGCAGGTGATGTCCTTGTGGTTACAGACACTAGTTAGGGGGGCTAGTGTTGTGCCTTAACACATCACGCTACCATTAGCAACACCAGCATCCTATGTGGGTGCCAATAAGTTCCAGCTTCCAATCTAGCTCCTTGCTGGTGGCCTGGGAAAGCAGGGGAAGACGAACCACTTCTTTGGGCCTCTGTATTCCTGTGGGAAACCCAGATGAAGCTCCTGGCTTCAGGCTTCAGCCTAGCCTCGCCCAGCCATTGTGGCCATTTGGAGAGTGAGGCAGTACATGAGAAGATTTCTTTCCCCCATCCCTCTCTCTGTAATATTGTCATTTGAATAAATTAAACAAATGGTTAAAAAGAAGATTCCAGTTGGGATAGTTGTACCCCCATCTCGGTATCTGGGTTCCACACCCAGAATGTGAACCTCTGCTTCCTGCTGATGTGGACCCCAGGGGAGACAAGGAGACAGCGGTGATGGGCAAAGGGACTGAGTCCCTGCCATACACATGGCAGACCCAAGCGGGGGTGCATCTCAGGTATCTGGAAAGTGAACCAGCAGATTGGAGCTCCCTCTGTATCTCTCTGCCTCTCAAATCAACGAAAAATTTTTAAATACTCTTTTGCACAGATCCATCACCACAGCAAATGTACAGCAGGCATGTCAGGCACTATTTCTTTTACCACTCACCTGGCTCTTCCAGGACACAGCAAGGCTGGAAATATAACCACAATCCCAAACATGAATGTTTCATCCCGCCTGCCTGGTACACAAGGGCACAGGCTGGCAGTTACTCTCTGAAGCTTCTCTACTGGGAGTCATTTCAGGAGGTAATGAGTAACATAAAAAGCAGTGTTTATGGTGAGCGCTACTAACTGGATCACAATGTCCTTCAAATCACTTGCCACGCAGACAGCACTGTTTTCTCATAACTAAATACACTCTCTTACTTGCAGGAGTATGAGAGAACTACCTGTCATTACTCACCTAGATCAAGGAATTGCAGGCAGTAACTAAATCCTTTAACTCTATTTTTTAAGAGTAATTTATTTTTTTTTTATTGGAAAATCACACAGACAGGAGGAGATATAAAGATCTTCAATCTGCTGGCTTACTCCCCAAGTGGCTGGCAATGGCCAGAGCTAAGACAATCTGAAGCCAGGAGCTAGGAGCTTCTTCCAGGTCTCCCACGTGGGGCAGAGTCCCAAGGCTTTGGGCTGTCCTCACTGCTTTCGCAGACCACAATCAGGGAGCTGGAAGGGAAATGGAGCAGCTGGCATATGAACCAGCGCCCATATGGGATCCCAGCACATGTAAGGCGAGGACTTTAGCCACAAGGCTACCGGGCCAGGCCCAAACCTTTTACTCTTAAACCACCATTTCTTCTACCTTTTGTCCTTTCCTCTTTCCTATCATCTAGAATGCCCACTTCGCCCTGACAAAAAATTGCTAATAACTTAAATATCAACCATCCTCTAAAATGTTCCCTCTTAATATACTTTTTTTAAAAAAAGATTTACTTATTTTTATTGGAAATGCAGATATACAGAGAGGAGGAGAGACAGAGATCTTCCGTCCAATGGTTCACTGCCCAAGTGAGCACAATGGCTGGAGCTGAGCCATCCGAAGCTACGAGATTTTTCCAAGTCTCCCACACGGGTGCAGGATCCCAAAGCTTTGGGCCATCCTCAACTATTTTCTCAGGCCACAAACAGGGGGCTGGATGGGAAGTGGGGCTGCTGGGATTAGAACCGGTGCCCATATGGGATCCCAGTGTGTTCAAGGTGAGGACTTTAGCCGCTAGGCCACGCCGATGGGCCCTTAATGCACTCCTATTAGTCAAGAATAACAGAGAAGCAGTTGGAAGACAAAATATAATAAGGAAAATAACTGACATCAGCCAATTTTAAAGTCCACAAGGTCAAAAGCTCATTAGGTCAAATAGTTGCATCCTTTCAAACAGCGCAGTTTTCCACAGCTCACTGGAGCAAAGCTGTTCACACAAACATAAGTTCCCAGCAGGCGTGAGAGGGCCCCGCGCACCAGACCTGCTTCAGGTCTCTAAGCCTGGGTGTCAGGGCCGCTCATGAGCCCCAGGGGAGCCAGTGCTCTCTCACCCTCTTTGCCCAGACCGTATTCCTAAAAACATAAACAGTAACAAGTTACTCCTCTGTCCTCTGTGTTTTTCAGAGCCAAATGCATCACTAAGGAAAATACAGTAATGTTTAGCCATTAAAATTAAGTTAATCTGAGGTGGGTGGGGCCATTTTTAAAATTAAGTGGGGTCAGCACTGGCTATTCCTTTACCTTAAAACCCTGGCATCTCATATGGATGCAGTTCTGTATCGTGACTGCCTCACTTCCCATCCAGCTCCCTGCTTATGGCTTGGGAATCAGCAGAAGATGGCCCAATGCCTTGGGTCCCTGCACTTTCACGGGAGACCCTGAAAAAGCTCCTGCCTTCAGATTAGCTCGGCTCCAGCCATTGTGGCCATTTCAGGGAGTGAACCAGCAGACAGAAGATCTTTCTCTCTGTATCTCCTTCTCTCTGTAAATCTCTTTCCAAAAAAATAAATCTTCAAAAAAAAAAAAAAAAGGTAATCTTAATTCTTGATCTGAGACTATACATTTACATCTACTTTCTGACTGAAATGAGAATTTCAAACTAGTTAGGGAGGACCTCATATCACAGCTTCAACATTTTGTTTGCCTTTCTGCTAACTTTCCTGGGTATTCACACCTCACTTGGGGCTCGAACACTCGGCCCCCACCTCCCTTGGAGGAAAGCAGCCATGACTGGTTAAGTGAGCAAACACAGTTTTAAAAACACACAGCAGCTCTAACATGTCTGCCATTTTTCTTAAAAAGCACAGCTTATAAATAACCCCAGGGAAAGTTAACAGTGTCCAATCCAGAAAAGGGATACCTGACTTTGTAACCAAATGAACACCTCCCCACGGACAGATTCCCTTGTGCTCTTCCTGCTCTCTCTCTATCGGTAACAGTCAACTGATAGCTCAGGGGGCATTGAGGGTTTGGAAGCCTGGGCTTTAACAGCGTTCTAAGAGCCAGGTCAAACTCGATACAGAAGAGAAATCAATATCTCCTAAAGAGCTCAAGACAGAGAAATTGACAAAGACTTTAAGCTGGTCTGGCTCAGATCCTTCCATGAACACTTGGGAGACTAACCCAGAGCCTCAGCCAACATGGCACGCACCATGTGGGGCTGCACACAGCACCATGGCTGTTAACTGTTAACATGAGTGCAGAAATGGGAAACCAGATGCCACAAAGTGCCTCATCTAACCACCACAGAATAGAGCCAGAACAAAATAATCCAAGACATTCACAAGAGTATGTTAATTAAATCTCACACTCTGAAGTAACCAAGACGTCAAAGGAGGAAACACAAGATACTAGAAAATAAAACCTATCAAAACTTACGGAACCTAATTAAGCAACAGTTAAAATCTATAGCTATGAAAATTATTAGATAAAAGGGGGGAGTGGCGTCATGCCTGTTTGTGACCCGGCTGCTCCACTTCCAGCCCAGCTTCCTGCTAATGTACCTGAGACAGCAGGGGAAGACGGCCCGGGTCCTTGGGCCCCTGTATCCAGGTAGGAGACCTAGATGATGTTCCCGGCTTCTGCCTGGCTCAGCCCTGACCACTGTGGCCACAGGAGGACTAATCAGTGGATGAAACATCCCTTCTCCCTAATTTCTGCTCTTCAAATAAATAAATCTTACAAAATAAAATCCAACAACATTACATGTAATATCAAAAAGCATTATATACCAGGATCAAGTGGGAATTATTGCCAAAATAAAGACCTCCATTCTTTGGGTTCACTCAAAGATCACAATTTAGTCACCTGTGCATCCTGGATCAGCTGCCAATTACAAGTATGATGTCCTCTCCAACAGCGGCACCTGTGCTTTCAGCACTGCTTTATTCTTTCAGGTCAGAACTGCAACTACCATTACGTATCTATGTGTTCCTTGCTCCATACCCAGTACCGAGGGTCAACTTGACACTGCTACATCCTCAACATTTGCTGAATTAACCACAACTCCATAATTCCAAAACATTTCCTATCAGTTCCTAAGTTACATTACTCACCTGAACGCTTCAGATTTTGCTGTATCTGCTGTCAAAAGAAAAAAAGACAACATCTCATTAGTCTCATCTTACATGACAAATTCATCAAAGCAAAATCCTGATTCGTTGCTTCGTAAGCGAGAGATGTAAAACCTCTTTACAAAAGTGTTCGGGAGTTTATACTACTACTGGAGTCAATGATGTCAATTTTTATTTATTTATTTTTATGGGAGGCAATAAGAACATAGTTTTCCTTTAAAAAGAGCCACCTGCAAGTCTGCCAGCACAAGCTGACTGATTTTGACTCACTGTTGGTGGAAAACAAGAACCAAGTTTTAAGTTATCAGAAATTTGAATGGCTTCACTGACAACTACATGTTTAATTCATGGTAACACCAAAAATAGTGAATTGTCAGTATTTTAAGAAAAATAAGGACTATGAAACATTTAATGATGGAATCTATATTTATTTGGACACCAGTGATGCTCCTGATATTGCACACACTTAAAATTCAATTTGTTTTAATACAAATTCAGACTGAAACCCATCACGAGCTTTACCTCATCAAAGTAAAACATGCAATTTCTTATATAATTGAGGTACCTTAAATAGCAAGCAATATATATGAATTTGGATGTTTATGAATGGTATATACTGGACACCAAATATCAAGACACTAGTTAACAGGGTTCTCTTTTTTCACTAATATGAAGAGAACAGATGTTAACTGTCCCACAGGTACTGCGGCAAGAAGACAGTCACGCCCACAGTTCCCTTTTCCCTGCTCCCCCAGGACCCTCTCTCCCTTCCCTTGCTCATACACTATTTACATAGACATAATTTTAATTTGCTCTATATTCCTAGGCTTAATTTGCTGCTAATCATAATATTCAACAAGTACAAAGTAAGAAGACTGCAAGATCATATTTCCTATGCAGTATAAATATGAACTAAAATCGACAGTCATATCCCAAAGTGAGGGTTTCATTTCTGCCCTTTCTGTGTGTTCTGTTAGCTGCCACATATCAGAGGAAGTATACGAGATCTGTTTTTCTGAGACTGGCTTATGTCACTAAGCATGATGGCCGGCATTACAATTATATACTAATGTTACACCACAGGAGATAAATTTTACCTAAAATCTATTCATCACATGGCATCATCTCTGAGGGGATTGAGATGCTTTGTTATGAGATGTTAGTCAGAAAGGGAGAGTTTTCCTGTCGGCTACCTGCAGTGGGGCCACCAGCTGTATTCTGGTAAACTGCACACAGGAAAGACTAGCACTCTGGAGGTTGAATCCTTGCATACAACAGCAAAGTGTGAAGGTAAGGATCCCAGAAAAGGAAGGAATTCCACCCATCTTCACTAACAGGTAACTGGATGGTAGAGGGTGAAGCTATAACTTTTAAAAGGAGTCCTCTCTTCATCTTGAGTTAGGACGTGCTAAGAAGTTGTCTTAAAAAGTACTTACTACAAGAATAAGTATAAGAGAGGTAAAGGTGGTGTTGGAGATGTCACAACCAGCCAGCTTGCCAGACATCACGGTGGCAAATGTTCTCTGACTTATTCCTTCAAGAAACTAGAAGGGAGCAAATTCTGTACAGGAGTTAACAAAAGGGAGAGGAGGGACTGCTGTCTGGAGAAATGCTAGAATGTTCAGTGCCTGCTCAAAGCACCAGCTAAACACAACCTCAGACACCATCTGCACTAGGATCAAGAGCAGGTTTCATGTCAGCTAATGGCAGCAGCCATTTCCCCCAGGTTATTTTATGAGACTGACTATACCAGACGTGAACTCTGGGTGATCGGGCTATAACTAAGGACTGTCAGGGTATCCTCCTCCCAAACCAACCAGAACCGCTCATGCTCAGCTGTCGGGGCAGAACAGCCCGCACGTCACCTTTCATTTGCAGAGTTCGTCGAGAATATCGTTTGCTGGGCCTCCTTTCAAAGGATGTGGATCTTCTTGCTTTGCTGGTTTTTGTGGTCTGATACTCCGTTTTCCCACTAAAATAAACAAGGTATAGCAACAAGAATGAGTTAGGACCTATGGTAACAAGATGTGCACATAAATAAGGCACAGTCTGTATGTAGGTTCTCTGTAAAACAAACATCCCTCTTAACACTCCTACTGCAGTGTGAGGCCTCTCTGTACCATACCAGATCCCCTTTTCTCTTGGCTTCAGAAACATGCAGGAGGTGATATTGGTTTTCCCCCTTGCACATCCCTAAGATCCTGTGAACCGTGGAGCAGCTGCGCTTTTATGGGCCTCTTCTTCCTCATTCACATCCCTCAATAGAAATTGCACAAAATGTTCAGTCTTTTCCTAATTGTGACATACTGTTCAGAATAATTTTGCTGAAATACTTCTTTAAAAAACTATTTTAAGAGAATGCGCCCTACTCTTAACATAGGTACAATACAAGTTCTATTCCATGAACTCAAAACAATTGATCAGCCACAACTTTGGAACCATCCACCTCTTTCAACCATGAGAAGCTCCAGTTCTGCTGACAATTCAATATCAATAATCCATCATAATGTAAACACAACATCTCTGACTTGTGACAAACAAACCAGTAGCTGGTAAGAACAATGTAACCGGGGACAGCATTATAGTGCAGTGAGGAAGCCACCACAGCCACACTAGCATTCTGTACCAGAACATCAGTTTGAACCCACCTGCTCCACTTCCTATCCAGCTCCCTACTACCTTGAAGGCAGCAGAAGCTGGTCCAAGTACTCAGGCCCCTGCTACCCTTGATGAAGGTCCTGGCTCCCAGCTTCAGCTGGTCCAGACTTGGCTGTTGCAGCCATTTGGAAAGTCAACTAGCAGATGCAAGATTCTGTCTGTCTCTTTGAATAGATAATGAGAGATTTATTTGTTTGAAAGAACAATGGAACTTTAGGTTTATAAAGAACCATAAACATCAATCAGATGAACATCACACTCAGGGCAAGATACCTTTCTATCTGGTATGCAGACACCGGATGGAAAATCAATGACTTGTTAAACATACTTAAATTAGGAGCTGGTCAACATAAAGATAAAGCAGGACACAAAATCCATTACACAGTTGCTATGTTTTCCCATCTTTACAAGAAATGACAATCAACAGTACCACCACATCTTTTTAATTTTGGCCAACTGAGGACTTTGGCAAAACACTTATGTCTGCAGCCCTTAATTTCCACACCTGAAAATGAGAGGGTTGGCTTTTGGGGTGTCTATGTGAGAATGGAAAATACAGAAAGCAACTGTTCAAATTAACTTGTATTCAGGACCCACCCAGCATTATGGCCCAGCAGAACAAGCTGCTGACTGTGACACCAGCATCCTGTATCAAAGCGCTGGGTCAATTCCTGTCTACTCTGCTGCCAATCCAGCTGTCCCTTAATGTAACTGCCACACATAGAGGAGACCCAGGTGAAGTTCAAGTCTCCTGGCGTCAGTCTCAGCCATTTGGAGTAAAGCCCCAGAGAGAAGAGCTCTCTCTCTCTCTTTTTCTCTCTCTCAGACACACACAAGCATACACCTTGTCACGTAGATAAGTCAATCCAAAGTTAAAATTAAATCAACCTGTATCTAAATCGTGATCCCAGCCGAATGAAGCCCGACCGGTGAGAACTCTTTTGCACGGGTCCGCGTAGGCGGAAGAAGGCGTGGTGCTCCACAGCGCACTTCCACAGATGCTTGCACGCTTTGGGATGATCCAGTCTAAAGACAAACGTGTGCTCCTGCTCTTTACCCTGAGCAAAAGGATGGAAAAGAGTGAAGGGGGGTACAGTCATCAGATCAAACAGTCCTGTATCGTAATTCCAAGACCCAAATACAACCACAGTAATATCAAGATGCAAATAAAAAGTACATAGTTTACTTCCAGCAACTGAAACACATTACAACTAAATAGGGACCAGCGTGCTGATACAGCATGCTAACTCTCCACCATATGGCTCTAGCATCTTTTATGGGAACAAGCTTATGTCCTTCTCTACCTCTCCTCGATCTTGTAAATCTACCTCTCAAATAAATAAATTTTATTAAAAAAAAAAAACACCTGTTTAAATAGTGTTCCTCACACTTTCTCATGGACACAGATCTGGTGGATAGTTCACTGTACTTTTTTTGGCTAAACAGTTTAGGGTGGAGGGCAAAGTAGGTGAGACCAAATATGTAAGTGCCACAGGAGGCTGTTGCTGTGACAGAAAATAGAAATGTTCAGTCGTTCTGCAGTAACATGAATGCACTCTGCTAGCACCACATTCAGAGATCTGAGTGTTCCTTCCATACTCATGGTAGAAGTACACAGCTCAGTGCCGAATCAGTGCCACCATCCTGATGCCATCTGAAACTGAACACCTGCAACACTAGCAATGAATGCAATCCAGCCCAGCTTGCGGGGCCATTTTCATGCTCTCTATCAGTGCTGATTACATCACAACTACACACTTAACAACGATTTTAAGCACCACCACCTATGTAGGACACATGCCAATCTTCTCACGGACATTTAAAAGCTTCAAATGTACAGGTCTTCAAATTGTTGAAATATATGACACTGGTGACTTACATAAAAGAAAATTGAAAGTATGGTCTTTTTTTGTCACTTATGCCATTTTATATTTTCAATTATTAAATCTCATAAATGTGTATGCAGATTACTAAAATTTACATGCAGAAATGTAGTTGATTCAGTCCAGCTGTTTTTAGGCTTTTATTTAAAAAAAAATTATATTTCTGACACTATTGTATGCCAGCCAATTCATGGCAGGCATCTTTTTAAAGTCCTTGAAATGAAGAGGTCAAATCATACAGCAAAAATACATTCTGACTTGACATCAACACTCAATGGCCAACGCGCTCTATGAAGACAGAGACCAGATGTCTCCTCCACAGCTTCCCAGTTTCCCATACCAGCACACAGTGAGGCGGTTAATCTGGATGTTTTTCCTGGTTTTTGCTTTTTGGGTTTTTTTTAACAAGAAAAATTCAGAGCCTCACCCAAAGATACAAACAACTCTGAAAAGTCTTTCTGCCTAAGCAAACTATGTATTTAAGACAGAACCTAATAAACAGTACCAACAGCCATCTTATCTCCCATCCTCTCTCCTTTACTTTGTAAAAAATAAATATTTAGGAAACCATAAAAGAATGAAAAGCATGTAAAGCTGCAATCATTCTGAAGTAACAATCACAGTCTGTAAGTTCCACAAACTTTTCTCTAAGCAAAATACTGTTGTAGTTTTAAAAATCTAGACATAAAACACTACTGTGCAGAACAGTCACTTATTACATGCATTTTCTTCTCCAGAGCTTTCCTGGCATGCTAAAGCATGGCTGTGGCTTTATATTGTATAAATGATGCCACGAGCTTTATGCCCACAGGACTCGACATATGCTGCTGGTGAGACCCTTGCGATAGCTTATCCACTTACTCCCACGACATTAAAACTTCCCTGAGAACAGGACTTTTTCTCATTCACCCTGACAAGTAAAACGCCTTGCACTGTACCAAGCACATAAACATTCAGCAGCTCTTTAGACTGACCGTTAGCACTGACTCCGAGCAAGCAGCAGCAGGCCAATATAACGCAAGCTTCTGCTAAACTAAATTCCACTAATACTGACCTAAATGTGTGAATTCAAAGACCGCTTTCTAACAGAGTTGCCTCTATTAGAAAAAAGTAACTAGTTTAACACCAGTATGCAAGTGTTTGAAAGACTCTTTAAATAAAGGAACCTTTAAGACCCAGTTACCATATGGTGTCATATATTTTATCCAGTTATTATATCTCAATTAGATCTTCACACATCCAGAATAACCATGGCAAATCATTAGAGGGCTACTACCTTGAAGCAGAATAATATTCAGCTGATCTCAGCTTTTTATTTGCTGATATTTATGTTGGAATTTACACTGACATTTTCATATAGCACCTTTACCAGACCAACTGGAAAGAAGATGAACCACCAAGAAGAAATGCAAGAATAAACAAACATGACCAGAGGTTAACAACCATAATGATTTAAAAAAAAGAAGAAAGATTCCATTGTTATATTTATGTATAAATATATGTATTTATGAAAACAAACCAGAATCCAATCGTGGTAAAGTTTCATCAAAACTCATTTTTACTTTTTCCTACTGCTTGTCACACTTCATGATGGCACAACCAAGGGATATATACCCACTGCTACTGCTAACAGTAAGTAGAAAAAACAGACTACAGATATATAAAACTTGGCTTGCATTCACAAAAGCTAGCAGAGTAACACAGGCAGTACTTTTAAGAGTGATAAAGTACAACAGTAACATATGTAGGAAAGGAAAATTGAAGAGCAGCACCTCTTTAAATCTCTTCAGTTTCCATCATAAGAATATTTAAACAAGGAAAAAAATCTGAAAACCCGTATCAAACCACCAGATTCAGCCAACAATTAGTCTGTTGCCTAATCTGTCTTATTTATCTGAAATGTCTGCCCTAATATGCACTCACTGCAGACAGAAGCATTATTCCGGATGTACAGTCAGGCTACAGGGCCAGTGTCGTCACGCACGAGTTAAGTCATTCCTTGGTAACACCGGCATCTCATACAGGAATGCGAGATACTCTGCTTCCAATCCAGCTACCTGTGAAGGCAGAAGCCGGCCCCAGCCCCTGGTCCGCTGTCACCCATGTAGGAGAGCTGGATGGAGTTGCTAGCACCTGGTTTTGACGTGGTCCAGCCTTAGCCATTGTAGTCCCTTGCCCTTAATCTTAAAGGCAGAAAACTATTTTTACAGTGGTGTGCACTGAATCAGGAAATGATCCTAGGACACCTCCACGCTCTACCACAGTGTCTGCATTCAAGTGCCAGCTGCTTCCAGGTTTAACTTCCTGCAGGCAACAAGTAGCTGGGTCCCTGTTACCCGGGTAGGAGACTCCAATTGGGTTCTTGGCTTTGGGCTTCAACCTATGGCTTCATCCCCAGCTGTTGAGGGCATTTATGCATTCAACTAGCTATCTTCCAAATAAATAAAAAAATAACTATAGAATTAAAAATAGATAAATAAAAAAATATTATAGAGCAAGCTTTTGCTTCATGGCTCTCTAAAACAAGACACATTCCCCTTTTGAAAGACGTTAACTTACCTTATAATATAACCATTGTTAAACAAGTAACACGAGACAATTCCTACCTGATCATCATCTTCTACAACCACCAATGTTAATTTATTCTTCTTGAAATCCAATCTGGTTATCTTGGGCCTACAACAACATGAGACCAACAGTCAGTTTAAAAATAAGTGTCCTCTACATTAAAAAAACAAAACAAACAAACAAAAACTTTTACTTGAAGCACATTTCATCACTTAAAGCCTGAAACGTAACTTGCTCTATCAAAAAAAAAAGCTAATAACAGAAAACAGGAAAACGCATCATTCCAAAGCCAGATTTCTGAAAAAGTTGATATTGTACATACATTTGACGCTAAAAATATTTTTAAAAATTGAAAGAAATTTAAGTATTTTGCAGATCCTAGTTAAGGCACACAAGATTCTCCAGCCTTGGTTAAATTCCTGCATACAGCAAAGAATAGCAAGCATTTAATAACAGGCATCACTAATGCCTAGAATCTTTACCTTGATTTTCTACAGTGATTTTAGTGTAAGGAAATACATATTTAAAAAAATTAAGCTTCACTTCATAGCACATTCCTGTACCAAAATTCTGTACTACCTACCACATTTGAACTGTGTACTTTCACAAACTGTCGATCCCAAGACGTGATTCTCCCTCCCACTAATCTTTCATTGTAAGTTGTATAAAATAACTGTAAACATGACTTGCTTATAAGAGCTATACTAAAACAGTTAAGTCATAAGTAAATAATATTTGGAGAGGGTGAAGGCAATAGCATTTATTTTTCTAACAAACATGTACATACTGCTTGCAAGTGCCAGGTAGTCTTAGAATAACTAATTCTCACACTCTTATGAGAAAACATAAATAAAGGCTTTCTTTATGTCAGCCTAGTATGTTTCACCAGTGGGCATGCTGGATGTGCCATGGGATTCCCTCTCAGGGTCCAGCTCCATCCACTGGGTGGCCACTGGAAAAGCACACCACTCCAAACACTAACAAGGTCCCTAACAGAAACATGGGGCTATCAACTGGACTTTGGCCCTGTAGGGCTCTTACATTCCTGGCCTGCTGTGAAAGGTCATGCCTGGCTTACATCCACACAATCCCATGCTAAGCTCTTACTGGTTCTGATGTGCACAAAGTAACGTAAACATGCTCTCGAAGTCTCAGCTTCTGAACCCACACAGAACGAGAAAGACCAAAACAGCTTTATAACCCAAGTAAAACAAACTTGCTCTCAATGTAAACATGAAAGGTGAACAAGATCTCAAAGGTTGGGTGACAGAAATCAAAACGGAGAGAAGGGAGCCAGCCAACATGGAGGGGAAGCACAGACATGACATCTCTTCCTATGCTAGAAGGCCACAGTGTCAGTCACCCAGACGAGAGATACATGAAAGAAAGTAGGAGGAAGGCAGTGCCATGCAGTCCCTCAACACCTAGGGAAAATATGCAAGGCATATTTCAACATACCTTGAAACTAATGGCAACAGAGAGGTTTGGAAATTAGCTCTGCACAGGGAGGATGAACAGTACAGGTGGAGGCTGGGAAATTGGCTCAACCGGCTAATCCTCCACCTCCAAGCCTGGCATCCCATATGCACACTGGCTCATGTCCTGAATGCTCCATTTCCCATCCAGCTCCCTGCTTGTGGCCTGGGAAAGCAGTAGAGGATGGCCCAAAGCCCTGGAACTCTGCATCCATGTGGGAAACCCAGGAGAAACTCTGGCTCCTGGCTTTGGATCGGCTCCGTTTGGGCTACTGCAGCCATTTAGGGAGTGGATGAGCAGATGCAAGATCTTTCTTTGTTTCTCCTCTTCTCTGCAAATCTGCCTTTCCAATAAAAATAAATAAATCTTTAAAACAGGACAGGTGACAACTTGATTTCCAAACTTTTGTTTTCTTTACTTTGCCAGAAATAAAATGACAGGGGCTGGCATCATGGTACCACGGTTAAGCTGCTCTGCCTCAGATACAGCTCCCTTCCAATGAACCTGTGCAAGCCGTGCAGGAAAGAACAGGTGGTAGGAGCCCTGCCAGCCATGTGGGAGACCCAGATGGAACTCCAGGCTCCGAGCTTCAGCATGGCCCAGCCCAAGCCCTTTAGCTGCCATTTCTGAAATGATCCAGCAAGTGAATGGAAGGCCTCTTTCTGACTTTCTCCTCTTTTAAATAAATAAACACTTCAAAGAAAAAAAAAGTAAGTACCATCGTTGGCATTTAACTCTGCTTACCAAAAAAATAAGCCGATTTTGGTCTCTCCTTCAAAAACGAGGACTCCTGTGGGGGTTAGTCCCAAGCTGTAGTCATTCCCATCTCTAGCCTGATTTAAGAAGTGAAAAACATATTAGTATCATTTATATAAAACAAGTGTTCTATTTTCACCCAACTGTTCAATTTTCTTTTCATACTGAGTTGTGATTACATATTCTTATGGCTAATACTAATATGCAAAGATGTTTCAGTATATCAAAAATAACCTCCTCAAGAAAATCCATGCATGTATTTGTATTTGCAGCCAGTGCAACACTGCACACTGGTTCCCGTAACCCACGGGGCACACAATCAAAGACCCCAGGGGCTTTCTGAAGCCACAGACAGGAACAATCCCCATAATCACTGTATTCACATACATTCATATGCTTACATGTATGCACGTAAAGTTGAATTCACAAATTAGATGCAATAGTAAAATCAAGCCATTATAAAATACACTGTAATCAGAGTTCTTTGAAAGTAGTCTCTGTCTCTCAAAACAGCTTGTTCATTTTTGGAATCCTCCTTTTAATGCTTCAGACTACCACAGCTGTCCATGGTAGCTGGGACCTCAGAAAGAAGAGAGTCATAGAGAATCAAGATGGTGGAATAAGATAAGGACATGTTTAAATAGATGAAAAATCATTAGACAGGGTGAAGGAGAGAGGGCACATTCCAGGAAACAGGAAAGGGCAGGCCAACGGCAGAGCGGCATCTGGAGAATGACGGACATGGGAAAGCAGCAGACAATGGTGTGGTGTTACAGCAAACATATAACCCAGCAGCAGTCAACGAGCAGCGAACTGAGCTCTACCAGTAGCCAGGTGGGAAGGGGAGTTCACCGAGAGCTCAGGAGGTGAACGCAGCAGAGAACTGTCCGGCCCGCTGATCTGTTTGACTCGACCAGGAGCAGAGACAGAGCAAAGGCTGTGGGACAGGACTATACATACACTAAGCTGGGAGAGAACTCATCTCTAGCCCGCTCAGTGTACTGTATCGATATTGTATCCTACAGCTTCCAACCAAAATAGCCCAGTTAGCCCCCAGAACTAACAGCCAGCAGATTCAGAACTCCACCAGTGGCACATCAGGTGCCATTTTGTACAGTGTGGCAAAGGCTTTGAGACTGGAGAGACAAGCGAGCTGTGCATGCACTGAGCTGGAAGTGAACTCACTAAGCTTAGTGCATTGCACTGGTCCCATAGAGAAAATCACACTGACTTAGGCATCCTATGGGTCAAAATAGGTCCATGTGGCCCTCAGACCTAACTGCCAGCAGGTTCCAGCAAGATCAGAACCACCAATAACCTAGCCACATAGGATACCTCATCAATCAAACGTCATAGATGAGTAGACTGGGTTAAAAAAACAAAACCATCTATTTGTTGCCAATAGGAGACACATTTCACCAACAAAGATCAGTGGAAACTATATCTCATGGATTTCGATTTTTTTTTTGTTTCACCTCTTCAAAACACTTCTTTTGATTATATTATTCAATGACTCAGCATCATTTTCTTCAAGAAGCTTCTTGATTTTCTTTTTCATTTCTTCAGTGACACATTAATCATTCAGTAGCATGTTATTTAACTTCATGGTGTTGTTAATTTCTTTTTTTTTCTTCCTGTTGTTGATTTTATTTTGTAGCTTTTCATTTAAGGGGATGTACAGTAACTGTGTAATGGAGACTATCATATCTAGCAACATGTTATTTAACTTTGTAGCACCATCAATTTCTATTTTTCTTCCTGTTGTTGATTTTGTATTGTGGCTTTTCATTTAAGGGGATATAAAGTAACTGTGTAGTGGAGACTATCATATCCAGATGTGAGGATACAATGCAGTATGCATCCCTACTTCCAGATAAAGATGGACTCCCAATGAAACTGTTTACTATATCTTGACACTAGGATGCTGAACTCTCATTGTCCATGATGCATATGATTGTGTATGATGCATATATGATTGTGTATGAAGAACTATACTACAGTAATGAGATAGGGGAACTCAGTGAGGGGGGAGGGAATTGGGTAGGTAATAAGGGAAATCCCATGATCTGTGGAACTGTATCATAAAATGATAATAATAAAAAGAAACAAAATTAAAAAAAAGAATTCAAAACACTTATTATAAAGCTTCTTATCAACAACAAGAAACACATACAGGAGTTCAAGGAATCTAAGGAATATGTCACACAGGAAATGACAACACTGCAACAAAGCCAAGCAAAATTATTAGAAATGAAGGACAGAATAGAGCAAATTAAAAATTCAACGGAAAGTCTCCACAATAGAACGAAAGAGGCAGAAGAAAAAACTCTCATAAGTGGAAGATATTCCTTTCTACAATGATGATGAAACAATCCGAAAGCTGGAGGAGCAACTGAGTCAAACTAAGAAAAGTATTCAAGAGTTACGGGACACTATTAAAAGGCCAAATATAAGAGTTATGGGAGTTTTACAAGGAGCAGAAAGAGAAGTTGGGTTTAAAAATGTATTCAGTGAAATAATAGAGGAAAATTTCCTTAATCTGGAGAAAGAATTGGGAAACAGAATACAAGAGGGCACAGAACTCCCTAGAGGGTTGACGAAAAGTGATCTTCACCATGACACATGATAATCAAGCTCGCTTCAATCAAACATAAGGAAAAGATCCTTAAATGTACATGTGAAAAAAATCAATTGACCAATAAAAGAATGCCAATCAGACTTACAACTGACCTCTCACAGGAAATTCTACAGGTCAGAAGAGAATGGAACAACATATTTCAGATTCTAACAGAAAAAAATTGTCAGCCCAGAATAATGTACCCAGCAAAACTTTCCTTTGTCTTTGAAAGGGAAATAAAATTCTTCCATAGTAAGGAAAAGCTCAAAGAATACACCTCTTCAAACCTGCCATATAAATGATAGTTAAAGATGATCTTTTGACAGGGAAAAGTAGTAGCACTTACCAAAACCAAAGGCAAATATAGACAACATCTCAAAAAGCAACAAAAGATGACAAAAGCAAATAATGAAAAATCCATTGCTAAAATAACAGGTCCAAATTGCTACCTATTCATATTAAAACTGAACATAAATAGCTTAAATCATCAAAAAATGTCAAAGATTAGTAGAATGGATTAAAAAACAAAACCCATCTATCTTTTGCCTACAGGAGACACATCTCACCCACAAAGATCAGCGGAAACTATATCTCACAGATTTTGATGTTTTTGTTTTTATTTTCATTTCTTCAAAATAGTTTTTTTTCTCATATTAAATTCTTCACTGAATCATAGGTCATACAGAAGCATCATTTTCTGTACGAAGGTTCTTGATTTCTTCCTTTCTTCAGCAATGCATTAGTCATTCAGCAGCTTGTTATTTAATTTCATGACATTGTAAATTTCTATTTTTCTTCCTGTTGTTTGTTTTGTGACTTTTAAGGGGATGTATAGTAACTATGTAACGGAGAGTATTATGTTCAGACATGAGGATACAATGCAGTATGCATCTCTACTTCCAGATCAAAGATGGACTTGCCCCCACAATGAAACTGTTAAATATACCTTGACAAAAGGATGCTGGACTTTCTCCCTATGTCCATGCCTGCAATGATGGACTTATGACTGTTTATGAAGAGCTGTACTATAATAATAATATGGGGGAAATCAGTGTGTGGAGGGTAGGGACTTGGGGAGGGGGATAAAGGAAATCCCAGAACCTATGGAACTGTATCTAATAATAATAATAAAAGAGTATAGTATCAGAAAAAAAAAAAAAAAAAAGAAAAGCCATGGATAAGGGAAGACAGCTGTTGTTCAAGGAATGCCTTTTCCATGTTCCTTATACCTCTTAAACCACAAGTTAAAAAAAAAAACTTTCTAAGAATAATGCTGCTACTTCTACTGGAAATAACTGAAATCACTACACAAGCTATACATTTTCAGCTTTACCTCTTGAATTACCTTAACTTTAAAAAGATCTATTTAGGGGTCCTGTGAGGTGGCCCAGTGGCTAATCCTTACCTTGTACATGCTGGGATCCCACGTGGGCTCTGGTTCATGCCCTGCCTGCTAAAGTTCTCTGCCTATGACCTGGGAAAGCACTCGAGGATGGCACAAGGCTTTGGGACCCTGGGAGACCTGGAGGAGGCTCCTAGCTCCTGGCTCCAGATCAGCTGTGCTCAGGCTGTTGGGTCCCTTGGGGAGGGAACTAGCAGACAGATTTCCCTCTCTCCAATAAAAAATCTAAAAAAAGAAAAGCCTACTCAATGGCTAACACTGCTGTGAAGCCAGTTAAGCTGCCCATGATGACACCAGCATCCTGTGTCTCCTGTGTCCTGGCTGCTTTGCTTCTAATCCAGCTTCTTGCTTATGTATCTAGGAAAGCACTGCAAGCCTGCCTGATTATTTGGGCCTCTGCCACCCATATAAGAGAACTGGATAGAGTTCCTGGCTCTTGGTTTTGGTCTACCCAAACCCAATAATGTGGGGAGTGAACTCGCAGACTGATCTCTTTCACTGTCTCTCCTACTCTGTGCCATCCAACCTTTCAAATACATTCATTCTAATTAAAAAATAAATGAATGAAAGTTGGTTCAGCTGAAATAATGCAGAACACTAAGAAGTGAAAAGAACAGAAAGTAGTCTAGAACTATATAAAAGCCATGGTGTACCTTTTTGGAAATTGGATTGTTCCTCTTCTTACATAACAAATGTCAATAGATTCTAGTCATTCAGTATTTAATCTTTTTTTTTTCCTTACCACACATCCAAAGGATCTTACACAAGACTGCCCACCGTGAGCTCCCTATACGGTAAAACCTACCACACGACCCGACACAAAGAACATCCCAAAGTCGCCACAGCATAAAACTTACCTTGACCACGTGCATGTCAACCCCATACATTTCTAGCCATTTGGCTTTATTCAAATAATTGGTTTCAGCTTGTGCTGGTGTCTGACCTCTGAAATATAACACATAATATTTTTGAATATAATACTTTTGAATAATATAAATTCTATATCAAAGAGAGAAACAGAAGAAAATGAATGACAGTGATGAATGAATGATGAAGTCAAAGCAAAATAAAACAAAAAAATAAAAACTCAAATGCCAAGTACCTGTATTCTTTCCATTTTTCAAATATAGCCAGTTCCATCTCTTCCGTCTGAACAGGCACAAACCTGAACTCCGACACAAGTTCAGGACTGTGCTCTGCAAGATCATAGTCACCAAGTTCAGCTACAAACAAAGTTATATTGTGTTAACATGAATATACTTAATCCCTATGGAATCTATCTTCACAATCCACAGCACTAATAAAAATCATTAGGAGGATTAAAGACACTTTCTTAATCTGTCAAGAATTCTAACACACAGAATTCCTCAAAATAAATCTGGCTTAGAATTACAATGTGTCTATTCACACTATAACTTACACATATATTTTTAGTTGAATATGTATCTCTTCATTTACTCATACCTTAGTGGGTAGCTTTTGAAAATCACTTTGTGGATTTCCACTGAGAAATACTTGCTGACATAATAAATGAGTGAGAAATTCATGAATTCTTTAAACACAATTAGTCATTTTCTATAAAGAATTTAATACACACATCATAATGCCAGGAACATTGCAAGATAATTTCCTAATTTCTAATATTATTAATTCCAATTAACTGAAAATTATTGAAAAACACCGAGGAAAAAGGCCACAAGGAAAGAAATGAATAGCACACAAACATCTGCACAGTCATCTATACTTATTCTTGAACTGTGGGATTGGGGAACACAGTGCCACCAATTTTCAATACTTTAAAAATCATTTCCCGGGCACAGGGTGATGGGCAAAGTGCCTAATCCTCGCCTTGCGTGCGCCAGGAACCCATATGGGCACCAGCTGGTGCTCCAGCTGCTCCACTTCTCATCAAATTCCCTGCTTATGGTCTCAGAAAGCAGTAGAGGATGGTCCAAAGCTTTGGGATCCTGCATCTGCATGGGTGATCCAGAAAAGGCTCCTGGCTTTAGCTCAGCTCAGCTGCAGTCACTGTGACCACTTGGAGAGTGAACCAGCAGATGGAAGATCTTTCTCTATGTCTTTCCTTCTCTCTGTAAATCTGCCTTTCCACAAAAAATAAAGTTTAAATAAAATTTTTAAATCTGCCTTTCCAATAAAAAGTTTAAAAGTCTTTAATTAAAAAATTCCTTTAAGAGAACATATCACTCATATTAAAAATTGAAATCTTTTTTATAAAGTTGGGGAAGAAAACAACACTTGTATCAATAAGTAATAATCATTGCATTTATATATTGAGTACTTTATACAGTTATGTTAAAAGCATGATAGAGGGTACTTCCAAAGGTCCTGGGTGGGCATTTTGGCCTGCTGGTCACGGTGCTGGGTGGGATGTCCACAAACCACAGTGGAAAGTCTGGCTTGAACATCTGGCTCTGGTCCCTGAGTCTAGCTCTGAGCTCCTAAGAGCAGCTAGAAGGTTCCAGGAATTGGGATCCCTCCACTCACATGGGAAATCTGGAATTTTCTGGTTCAACCCAAGCCAAGGCAGGCCATTTGGGGAGCAAGCAGTAGATGAGGACAGCCCTGGCTCCCTCTTTCTCACAGGTCTTCTGCTTCTCAGTTTTTATGTTCTTCCATGGACTTAAAAGTTTGCAGGAAGTGAAATTTAGAAACCATCTTGTTTCAGTGCAGAAACTTTTAAATACCATGCATGTATATCGTTTAATGCATGTATATCGTTTCCAACCTTGGAAAACATGTTTTTTTTTTTTAAGCCTCACGTTATTAATAAGGAAATTGTTCTTCAATCCTAAGATGCATCAAACCGAGTCTGCTATCTAATGCTGTACCTAGATGGGAGCATGAAGGGAGGGCACTTAGAAGGGCTGTTCAGAGGCCCCCGGAGCACTTGCATCGGTTACTGGAAGTTAATTCTCTGGGCATTCTAACTTTCTGCTATCATGTATCCCAGGAGGCAGCAGGTGAGTGCTAAAAAGACCTGGGTTCCTAGCACCCACATGAGAGACCCTGACAGAGTTCTCACATCCTGGCCTTGGCTCAGTGCAGTCCCAGATGTTGTGGACGTTTGTAGAATAAATCAGCAGGTGGGAGACTTCTCCCCCTCTATCTCTCCCTCTGCCTTTCATATTTATTCTTTTTAAAAATTATTTTTCTTTTTTTATTGGAAAGTCAGAATTTCAGAGAAAAGGAGAGACAAAGAGAAACATCTTCCATGTACTGGTTCACTCCCCTACATGGTCACAATGGCAAGAGATGAGATGAGATGAACTGTTCTGAAGATAGGAGCCAGGAACTTCCTCCTGGTCTACCACGTGGGTGCAGGGTCCCAAGGCTTTGGGCCGTCCTCAATGGTTTTCCCAGGCTACAAGCAGGGAGCTGGATGGGAAGCGGTGCTGCCTGATCAAGAACTGGTACCCACATTGGTTCCTTGTGGTTTGAAGGTGAGAATTTAGCCAACAGCCTTTTGCAATGGGCCAACAGGTTTATTACCAAGAATCTTAAGAACAAGCAGGATTTAGGGGCCAGCACCGTGGCATATCATGCTACGCCTCAGCCTGCAGTGCCAGTATCCCATATGGGTGCCAGATGGCATATTATACAAACACTTCCATCAGAATATTTCGTTTCATTTTGCAACCATAATTGAAAAGTCTCCCTTTAAAAATCCATTTTTATTATAAAATTCCAAAGTTTAATAGTAGACTATCCATATTAGAAAGTACAGAAGTGAGGTTTTCATTCACCTCCCTTATTAGAGACCACGTTACTATGATCCTCAAGAACTTGAAGACATGCTTTTTGTGACTCCTTCCTGGATTCATACTTAAGAATAAGACTAAATTCACAAAACAGCAGTAATTTACCCAAAAATCACAGCGCTCATTTTAAGGGAAAACTTTAGCTCAGGGGGCTCAATCACAATATATAGTGAATCATCAGAAAGACTGCAATTTTAGTGCACAAACATCACAGAGAAAAAAGGAGCAAAGAAACAAAAGGGGGAAGAGAGAGAGAACACGAAAGAACACAGAGTTCCGCAGGAAGTCAGAGAAACAGTCAGAGCTGGACACAGGCACACGCTTACACAGACAGCGTTGTTTTCTCACACCTCACTTGGTCCAGAAATTCTTTAACTAAGGACAGAAGGAGAATCCACTCAGTCTCCAGTCAGCACAGCCGCCGCTCACCTTGCAGGTTATACGCTGCCAACTGCACCGCTGTATCGAAGGGGCATTCTAATCTGAGACCAAAACACAAAGTTGTTAAGTCAATTTCACAACCTGCAATTTAGAATAAATGAAAAAACAAAAACCAAATATATCCTTTCTGGTGATCATTTATTTCCTCATAGCTATGAGGTTATTTTCAAAATTATTTTCAGCCTCAGAAGAGAATGTACATTTATTAAATAAGCTAATACTTACTTTCCACTGAGAATATCTTGTTTTAACTGCAGAACAAATAAATACCTGGGAAAAGTAAACGATATAAATGTAACTCAGGAGTGCCGTTTACTACACAAAGAAAAACGTGCTCACCTCACAGACAATAAAGTAAATCAACATCAGGAAGTTCCCAGCGAGGAATGACAGCCAGCCTCAAAGGAAACCGCTGAGAAGACACTCCTGGGGAAGCGCTCCAGGATCTAAGCTGACGGGGCTCTGACGGCACCCTCCTCCTTCACTTCACAAACAAGACATGCACACGGAGAGATGGCCTTGCAATACGGAGTCACTGAGTCAATATCCCAGGAGGCGGGATAGTATAAACACAAATGCATATGACCTGAAGTTGATACACACCGCACCGGGATCAAACAGTTTTCATCCATCAGTGCACCCACATGAGCCAAGAAAGCGGGGACAGGGCGGGTGTAGGGGGCGGGGAGCCGACCTCAACAAACTTGGCCCAAGACACAAGACTGAGAAACATGGAAACACATCAGCTCAGTACAAAGCCCATGGCGGGAAGGGGGCAGGAGCAGCCCACTGGTCCCCTTTGGAGAAAGGCCAAGGAACCAATCCTTTACTCTTTATTCTAAAACCTCACCAAGGGCAAGAGTCAAACATTTGAAAACTGCTGTCCTAGGAAAAAACTCTATTCTGCCAGGGCCTGTTCCCAGAAGCAAGAGATCTGTTCCATCAGCTGCCTGTCACTTGGAAACCTTTTGACAACATTCCAAAAATCCCTCAGCACAGCTCTGGAGCGGGGTAGCGGGGCTTACCGCGTCAGCTCTTCACGAAGATTATTCGGTTCTGAGGAATAAAACTTAACTCGAAGATGCAGACAATATGGTGAACCAACTGCCATTAAAAACAGAAAACAGCAGCTGTTAAGTTAATTTAATGGTCTAAACAGGAGTTAATGTGTCACAGATTTCCTGCCAGGACAAAGATTCAAGGTTATGGAAGAACCGGTTCAGGGTGGATTACAGGCTGAAACTTGACACAGAAAGATCAATCAGTAAATTCATTTTCTCTCTCTCTCTCTTCTCTGTATTCCTATCACAATCGCCTTTTCCCTGGCAGGGCCTGAAGCATGGAACAGACACCCTGCTTGCAGTCCATACCTACGGATTCACTTCTTGATCTCACTGTTGCCACCTGCTCCCGGCAACTCCTCCACACACCAACCTCCTAGGCCCCGGTAGTGGGCACATGTGTCCCCTTAGTCTGTAAAGACCTGAGCTGAGCTGCCCTGAAGTTCTCAGCCATGCCAGAGGATAAGCTGTATGAGGAGCTGGACACGATATTCCTAGCCCTGAGCATGGCCAGGAACAACACTGACATTTTATGTGAGCTGCTTCATTTTCAATCTTTAATTTTAAAGGAGCAGATCTTTAAACTTTAGAAAGTGCTAACATGGTTTAAAATGCCAAACAAAACCCAAACAGGAGACTTCCAATACAATTACTAGATAAAAGCTGAACATGCCTTTCCTAAGACGCCAGCTCCACTGGCGAGGGGCAGGGCCTTCTGCTGCACACCAGCTTACAAGGCCCTTGTGTTTACATCAGTACCAGACCTGCGGCACTTGACAAAAGTCACCCCAAACCTGACTTCTCATGTCCTTACTACCAGGAATTAAATTTTTAATACACTTGATTTCCATTTTTCCCCCAAGCAATCTTTGCAGCACTTACTTTTCACTTGTTTCTTGATGCTTTTTGTGCCATCCAACCAATGCTGAAAATGAAACAACAGTCAGCAGTTAAGTCCTTAATAGAATTTTGGCATTTTAATCACTAAATGTTATTTTCATCATATCTTTATTGCAAACCACAAGGAAATAGTCACAAAAGTGAAGCCAAAGTGAGTGAGTGTCGGTGAAACAGAGGGAGGGAGAAAGAGAAAAGAGAGACCCAATACCCATGGCAGGTTTCAGACACATGTGAAGGAGAAAGACCTAAAATTGATCCATGGCTAGTTAAAACATTTCCTCTTAGGCCCAGCACGCCAGGATCCCATTCGGGCACTGGATCGTGTTTCAGCTGCTCCACAATGCATTCAGTTCCTGCTTGTGGCCTGGAAAAGTAGTGGAAGATGGCCAAGGTCTTGGGACCCTGCACCTGTATGGGAGGCTTGGAAGAAACTCCTGGCTCCTGGCTTTGGATCAGCTCCTGGTCATTGCAGCCACGTGAGGAGTGAACCAGTGGACAAAAGCTCCTTGTCTCTGCCTCCTTCCCTGCGTAAATCTGACTTTCCCATATAATGAATGAATGAATTAAAATTTCTCTGGCTCTTGGTAATGCTGATAGTTCAAATCTGACCTTGGTTTCCTTGGCGTTCCCAAGTCAATTACTCTTTCACAGCCATTAAAATAAGAGAAGAATCCTCCTATTTTAGTTCTTCTCATGTGTTCATTCTTATAATAAAAAACAAAAGATTTGTTACCTGGATCTCTATGGAAAAACTGTTAGGCAATATCAGTGTCATCTAACTTTTAACAAAGAGGTACAACCGAGGAACTGGTCTATTTCAAAGTGTCCTGGGGGTGTAAAATGAAGCTCTTCCTTGCAATCAAGGCTCAACCTACAGAATGAGGCAGTCTTCGCTCCTTTACAAATAAAGGATGTTAACACTGGGACTGGCAGACTTTGAGTCTCAAGAGCAAGAGCCTTCTGATTTATGTAACTTCTTTACAGTGAAACTTCGTGCAACAAACAGACCTGAAAAACAACTCCAGATCCTGCCCTGATAACCGGTTTCCAGGTTGCTCCCCGTTAATCCCTTCACACCACCAAATCCTCACAGGGACGGGCTGCAGGCTGGGACCGGGCTCCAGCATGCTTTCCATTCCAAGCACCCCCAAGCCCCCGCCAGAGGAGAGGAGTGCTCTTGTGCCGACTGGCTCACAGAGCTGAGGAATCTACTTTCAAAAGTCCAGATAGGAAGGAGAGGGCAAACAAGGCTGCATTGTGCACAGGCTTGCCAATTATTCACTCAGCCTTTCCTCCCCTCTCTGTCCCAAGATCCCCAAGCGAAACTCCTGGGACTGTTGGCACAGCGGCAGGTTGAAGTAAGATGCTCAACCTTTCCAAAGGCAAAGAAACTCTTTACAATGCCTGCCCTCAACTCTAAGCAGTTGCTCAGCCAGCTCCCATCTTTTAATGCATTCAAGTGGAACGGCCACTGCAAATGTTCACGATCAATGAAACACTAGCCCGGCTAGGAGGCACAACACAATGCAGCCGAAGTCACTTTAAGACAGCACAGTCCATCTGCCTCTGCCTGGCCCAGAAATCCAACATCGCCACTTTGCAGGCTTAACTGTCCCGGACACCTACTCACAGACTGAATAGAGATAAAAGCAGTTCTCACAGCTAGCTTGCTTTCTCCCCAGATCCAAGAGCCTGGATGATGCTCGTCTCCAGGTTTTATCTATTGCACTGCAATAAAACAGCAAGCGGATGGCTGGTGCCCCAGTATTGTGACACTCTTGGACGCCCTAATGAGCGGGAATGAGCTAGGCTCAGCCAGGAGGCCATCTGACAAGGTATTGCTAAGACCTCAACAAGAACTGTGTTTTTGATCTCCTCATTTCACATCCAAAAACCATTATAGCTGTGAGCAGATTTACCCGCAAAGGACATCAGAAGATGCTAAAAGAACTCTGTATTAGACCCAGTGAACTGCTTACAACAAAGTATTTTAGATTGCACATAGGAATACTGTGAAACTGTACAAGGCTGGTCACAAAACAGTATAGCTTGTTGTGTTAAAAAGGGGAGGAGGGGCTGGCTCGAAAGCGTAGTGGTTAAAGTCCTTGCCTTGAACGCGCCAGGATGCCATATGGTCACTGGTTCTAATCCCAGCAGCCCTGCTTCCCATCCAGCTCCCTGCTTGTGGCCTGGGAAAGCAGTTGAGGATGGCCCAAAGGCTTGGGACCCTGCACCAATGCGGAAGACCCAGAAGAGCTCCTGGCTTCGGATTGGCTCCAGCCGCTGTGGTCACTTGGGGAGTGAATCAGCAGACGGAAGCTCTTTCTCTGTCTCTCCTCCTCTCTGTATATCAGACTGTCCAATAAAAATAAATACACCTTTTTTTTAAAAAGGCAGAGATTTACATATGAAGGGCCCGGCACAGTAGCCTAGTGGCTAAAGCCCTCACCTTGCATGTGTGAGGATAACATACGAGCACCAGTCCCTATCCCAGTTGCTCCACTTCTCATCTAGCTCCATGCTTGTGGCCTGGGAAAGCAGTAAAGGGCAGTCAACACCACAGGACTCTGTACCTGCATGGGAGACCGGGAAGCTCCTGGCTCCTGACTGTGGATTGGCTCAGCTCTGGCCATTGTGACTACTGGGAGAGTGAGCCAGCAGATGGAAGATCTTTCTCTCTGTCTCTCCTTTTCTCAGTAATTCTGACTTTCTAATAAAAACTAAATAAATCTTTAAAAAATTTACATATGAGCCTGGCATGATAGCATAGTGGTTAAAGTCCTCGCCTTGCATGTGCCAGGATCCCATATGGGCGCTGGTTCTAATCCCGGTGGCCCCACTTCCCATCCAGCTCCCTGCTTGTGGCCTGGGAAAGCAGTGGGAGACCCGGAAGAAGTTCCTGGCTCCTGGCTTTGGAATGGCTCAGCTCTAGCCATTGAGATCACTTGGGGAGTGAACCATCAGACGGAAGATCTTCCTCTCTGTCTCTCCTCCTCTCTGTACATCCACCTTTCCAATAAAAATAAATAAATCTTTTTAAAAAAAGTTTACATATGAAAATGTGTATTTTCTCTCAGATGGAGCCGATCTATAACAGTAGCAGATGTCTCCAGTAACAGTAACTTTGTTTCTTGCATATTCCTCTATTTTCTATATAAAATCCACGCCACAAACAATGACCATGGATCCCCTTTAATATTTCATATGTATTTATTTTTATATATCAGTTTAATATTTATATATATTACTGGTGATGTTTTTGGTCATCCTTAAGAGTACATGGTCAGCAGTGCTCCTCCAAGCCTCTGGCCACACCACATGCAGCCCATCCTCTAGATTCTGGCTTCTCTTGGTTCTTTCCAGAACAGGAAAAAAAACTCCAGTGTGTATGTGTGTGAGAAAGAGAGACAAAGAGAGAGACAGAGAGAGAGAGAAAGCACTGGTAAAGAAAAGAACATTATCAGTGAACTGAAAACTCACAGGCTAATAAGGAATTCTGACCAAATCGATTTGAAGACTATAAAACGAAACAGCAATGAAAGACCACTTGCAAAAATCATCTTTCTTAGTTATAACTTTAAGTTCTCTTTAGGACTAGTCTCATAAATACAACTTTCTGCTCTAATTCTTACTCTACCATGCCACTAAGAAAGCATATTAAACGTCCGATCGCTCAGTGAGAAAAGAATTGTCTAGCGAGCAGGCACAGCAGTCTCCTTTCAGCCTGTAACAGCCTCTAATATCTGCCTTCTCTGGGATGGCCAGAAACGCCGAGACAGCATCAAGTAACACTATGCAGTAAGATTTAGGAGCTGGGGAGTCTGGGGATGTGCTGCTGGGGAAGGTCTAAGTTCATGCTTGCATATTCTCCAGTCTGTTTTCTTTCATCTCCTCCACATTCCAGGAGCAGGGACTGGAAAACTCAGAGCTCCGAGACAGGCACGGAGTGTCTTCCTTGAATCTGAGTCTTCAGCAGTTGAGGGCAAATTGCACTTGGAGATAAAACGAAGAGTGCGCAGACACGGATCTGGGTTGAACTCTTAGTGAGAAACCAGGATGGCCCTCTTTTTTTCTCACTGTAACTTTAAAAAAAGAAAACAAATTCCCTTCTGGTTTCCTACTTTGGAACTTGAGCTGATAAACTTAGATATAAAAGGATACAGGAAACCACATTTTTCCATCCTGTTGAGCTGGGTATCAAAGCACATTTGCTGATGTGTGTTAAAATACAATACAGAATCACAAACAGAACAGACTTAACTAACCCAAAAAATCAACTAGCAAGTTTCCAGAACACGCACACACCCTGGTCCCGGGCTCCACAGCCAGTACAGACTCAGCTGTCCAGTGCTGCCTGCTTGCAACCCACCCACAAGGCTGTCACACAGGAACGGACCCCGTCTTGCTCTGGGACAAACAGCTCAAAGCAGAGGAACGGGAACCAGCTCTCCAAACAAGTGCCTCTGCAAGACACCGTTCTGTGAAGAGGTTTATGTTCTACTCTGTTAAAATGATACTAAAATAAAATTCAACAATTTAACAGTTTTTCAGAAAACATTAAAAATCTATGCTAACAGAGGACCAACACATACAGTACTGTTACAATCTAACTGAAAACACTTCAAAATTTTATCTAAATTCCATTATAAATTTTTCCTAGTGATTACTTCTGTGCAGTTCATTTACTCGGCTATTTTTGTTGTTGATGTTGTTTAAGATTTGTTTTATTGGAGTGGCACAGTTGTATACGGCAAGCTATCCCTCCACCTGTGGCTCCAGCATTCCACATGGGCGCAGGTCCCAGGCCAGGCTGCTCCACTTCAATCCACCTCCCAGCTAATGGGAAAGCACCAGAGAATGGCCCAAGGCCTTTGCATGAGGGAGGCCTGGAAGAAGTTTCTGGATCCCAGCTCTGCCCGTTGCAGACACGTGGGGAATGAAGCAGCAGATGAATGATCTCTCTGTGCAACTCTGACTTCCAAGCACAAATGAGTACTTGAAAGTGCTTTCAAGTATAAATGTTTT